CACATAGGGCTATGGAGCACCTGAAATGTTATGAGTGAGACTGAGGAACTGAATTTTTAATTTTACTTCATTTTACTTCATTTGAATAGAAATAGCCACATGTGGCTTGTAGCTACTCTATTGGACAATGCAGAGTTAGAGGCTGGTGCTGTAGACCAGGCAAGAGATGATGACCTAGGGCGCGGACAGAGATGGAGAGGAGGTGGCAAAGGCAAGAAACATTTAGGAGGTGATACGGTAGGACCTGGTGATGGGCCAAATATAGGTGAGGAAGAAACAGTCAAAGATGATTCCCAGATGTCCAGCAGGGGTAACCGAGTGGACGGCTGGGCTACATACTGAACAAGAGAATACAAGACAAGGATACAGAGGGAAACGTTGCATTCCACTTTAAAAACCTAAATCCAAACCCGTAGCTGTCAAGTCAATTCCAACTCAGAGACCCTATAGGACTGACTAGAACAGCCTCATAGGTGTTCCAAGGCTATAATCTTTACAGCAGGGGCAGACTGCCACATCTTTGTCCTGCAGAGCACCTGGTGAGTTCGAACTGACAACCTTTCGATTAGCAGCCGAGCACTTAACCACTGCGCCACTGGGGCTCCTTCACATTCTATTTTAGACGTATTGAATTTGATGTGCCACCTGAAAGGAGAATACACTTGACTATAATATCAAGAGGTAGGTAATATTAATATAGGAGCCCTCGTGGTGCAGTAGTTAAGCCCTTGGCTGCTAACTGAAAGGTAAATGGTTCGAACCCACCAGCTTCTCCATGGAAAAAAGATGTGGCAGTCTGCTTCCATAAAGATTACAGCCTTGAAAACCCTGTTGGGCGGTTTTACTCTGTCCTATAGGGTCGCTATGAGTCGGAATCCACTTGACTGCAAACAACATTAATATGCTGCTTTTTTTTTTTTAAGAAAGAAGGAACTGTGGTACAGGAAGGTTAAGTAACTTGCCCAAGGCCATAGGAAGTGGCAAAGTTAAACTCTAACTTGAGTTTATCTGATTCCAAAACTCATGCATAGTCCTCTACACCAAAATCAGCAAATAGGTAATAGCTTAAAACCCTGGGAATGGCAGAACTCACCCCAGGAGAAAGTCAGTGGCCCAGAAGACAGCCCTCGGGAGTACAATCATCTAAAAAACTATGTCCTGAGAGGGGATGGTCAGGGAAACGGAAGGAGAATGAGGCAAGGGCAATGCCATGAAAGCAAGGGGAGTGCAGCATTAGAAGAAAGGTGTGACCAACAGCATCAAGTCCCATGACAGGCACCAACCACAGCTCATTGGATTTTGCAAGTGGAAGTCACTGGTGCCTTTAATGAACACAGTTTCAACAAAAGGGCAGAGGCAGAAGCCTAATTATAGTGGGCTGACAAGCAAAGAGGACATGATAAAGTAGAGAAAGCAAACATAAACTATGCACTTTCAGTGTTTACTAGGTTTTAGCATACTGAATATATGTTAGATTTAACACTTATTGAATATATACTGAATGACAGACACTATGCCAGGTGCTTTACATATATAATCTCATTTTATCTTCATAACAACCTGTGGGGTCTGTAGGTATCATCTCCATTTTATAGACATGAAAACTGACACTCAGAGAGGTTAAACAATCTTCCATCACACAATGGTAAGTGGGAGAGTTTGGATTTGAATCCAAGTCTTTAGACTTCAAAGATGCTCTTTCCCTTTATACTCTTATACTTTCACATTATCACAGTTTTTGAGGATTGCAGAAAAGTTATTTAAAAATGTTTTTAAAACTGGGCTCAAGCCCTAGGAACTGGTTATCTTCTTGAAGAAATAAGATTATAATATATGAAACAATAGCAAAGAAAATAAGACAGTATATAAGTACTTGGGAAAGAAAGTGTTACACAGCTGATCTGCAATCCATTCTCTCCTATTTGGGGTTGAAGGATGACCCCCTAATCAAGAAAAAATATGGGTGATTCAGGCTAATCTCCTGGTAAGCATACTAATAACAGACCTCCTGATAGAATAATGGTATTTGTGCCAAGAGAGTCTTCATTCATGGAATGCTGCTAGCAGGATATACCTAGCCTAGGATTGCTTATGTTAAACAAACCTGGAATGTATGCATTTAAGCTATGTAACTATCTAAGTATGAAATGGAGATGCTTTACAACCAAGAGCACTCTTTCTATGTCAGAGATGTGAACTGCGCACATTGCTTAGAGACTGCACAGGTAATCATGCTTCAGTAAGTGCCCAATGCAAAAAGGACCTAGGGAGCCATCCTGATGGTCCTGAGCCTCTCCCTGCTTTGCCTCATGGTTACCTGGATCCTTTAAACCATTAGTAAAGCTTGATACAGGGTATGCTGTCTAACTCATATGAGTCTAATTGACACTCCCAATCCTCTGTGTTATCCCCGTACTAAATCATAAAAGGCTACATACAATCAATTTTTCCCCACTGTTATGGATTGAATTGTGCTCCTCATCCCCCTCCACAAATATGAGCTGGAATCCTAACCCCCATACGTGTGGACGTAATCCCATCTAGGAATAAAGTTTTCTTTGTTATGTTAATGAGGCCACAGCAGTGTAGGGTGGGTCCTAAACCTGATCAAATTCTCAGTTATAAAAAGAGCAGATCAGACACAGAAGCAACCACATACGAGGGAAGACAGATGCCCATGCGAGGATCACCAAGAACCAAGGAACGCCCAGCAAGAAAGGAATCAACATGGTCAAGACCCTGGTTTGAACTTTTAGCCTCCAGAACTGTGAGAAAATAAATTTCTACTGTTTAAAGCCGTCCACTTGTGGTATTTCTGTTACAGCAGCACAGCTAACAAAGACACCTTGGTTTTGAATTTTGAACTAAGGCTTGAAAGGCAAGTATATTTTTCAAAGATGGAGGGGAAATGGGGGCTATGAATAAAAGAATGAAAGGCATGAAACAACCCACAGGTGCATGGGTTGTAGCAGGGTTGTAGCAGTAAGAGTACATACCTGACTGTAACAAGTAGTAAATAAAACCGGAGACACAGGGTGGGACCACATCACACAGAACTTTCAAAAGTGAGAGAGAAGAGTCTAAGCAGAATGCAGTGTTTTTGTTTGTTTTTATTTTTTTTTTTTAAAAATAAGGTACTGACAATGGAACATGAGAAATACTACTCTGAACTGTGAGGAAAGCATTCCAGATAAGGTTAATCTGGAATTAGGGAAGTTAATTAAAGGTATTGCAGTAATCAAACCATGGAGATTCTAAAGGCCCTAAACTAGGACCACGGCAGTAGATATGGAGAGAAAGGACAGTTAAACATCTCACAGGGAAAAAAAAAAAAAAGCAGACCTTGTTAAATGACAAGATCAGGGCAAAAAAGTTTAACAATAAATCCATTGTCCAAGTGAGCACCTCCCTCCCTCCAGGAGGCAGAGCTTAATTTCCTCCCTTGAGAGTAGGCTAGACTTCACCACTTGGCTTTCAAATAGAGTAGGGAAAGGGCAAAGCTTTGCAGTGCAGGAACCTGGCCAACACTATCTTAACTAAGCGATAAAGGTTAACATCACCAGTGATGTCATGTGGAGGTCATGTTATCCCTGATAGGATATGACAAGAAGAGTACTTTACCTCTCTGGTATTCTTTGCAAAAAACCAATAACCTCCATCTAATCATGAAAAAAGTCATCAGAAAAACTCATGAGTGGACATTCTACAGGACACCTGGCCAGTACTCCTTAACACTGACAAGGCCAAGGAAAGAGTAAGAAAATGTCACAGCCCAGAGGAGACTGGGCAGACATGACAACTAAATGTAATATGGCACCCTGGATTAGATCTTGGAACAGAAAGAGGATACTAGTGGAAAAACTGATGGAATCCAGTGAAGTCTGGATTTTAGTTAATAGTAATGTATCAATGCTGGTTTCTTAGTTTTGACAACTGTACCATGGCAATGTAAGATGTTAAAAATAGGGGAAACCAGGTGAGGGATATATGAGAATTCGCTGTGCTAAATTCACAACTTTTTTGTATATCTAAAATAAAAAGTTGATTTTTAAAAAGTGAGGGACTGAGAGAATGTTGACATCAGAATTTGGGACAGGAGGAAGTTGAATTCAGGAATATGAATGACCCCAACATGAAATGGAGTACGTTATGTTCTTTTCCATGAAGAATCCACTGAATCCAAAGATTCGGGGGAAAGAGTTCATCTTGCAGCATACCTCATAGGGGTGTATGAATGCTATCTTAGTTATCTAATGCTGCTATAACAGAAATACCACCAAGTGCATTGCTTTAACAAACAGAAATTTATTCTCTCACAGTTTTGGAGGACAGAAGTTCAAATTCAGTGTCCTAGTTCCAGGGGAAGGCTTTTTCTCTGTCAGCTTTGGTGGAAGGTCCTTGTCATCAATCTTCCCCTGGTCTAGGAGCTTCTCGGCGCAGGGACTCCAGGTCCAAAGGACATGCTTTACTCCTGGCACCTCTTGTTTGGTGGTAATGAGGTCCCTCTCCTGTCTGCTTGCTTCTCTCTTTTATATCTCAAAAGATATTGACTCAAGATACAACCTAATCCTGTAGATTGTGTCCCGCCTCATTAACATCATACAGGTTAGGATTTACAACACATAGGATAATTACATCAGATCACAAAATGGAGGACAACCACCCAATAGTGGGAATCAGGCTTAGCCAAGCTGGCACACATTTTTCAGGGCACAATTCAATCCATAACAAATGCCCTGGAAGAAAGTATAATACAGTATTGACATGCTGCAAAGACAGCTGTGTTAAAAGCTTAGCACTACCACTTACTAGCTAGGAAGTCTGAGAAAGCTACTGTAGCCTTTCCAAGCCTCAGCGTCTTCATTTGTAGAATGGTGGTAATGATTCATATCATGTATGTTCATTTTTTATATAGTAGCTTTAGGATCCTGGAAAAATCCCTCCCCAAACTAAAAATAAACAGCACAACTTTAAAATAATTAGTGGTATCAGTAACTTACAGCTGATTCACAAACGGGGTGGAAAGCTCTGCTATCAGACGAAAATTCCCAATGTATGCCAGTATTCCTTCCTTCTGGAAAATAGATGTAAAACACAATACCAGCGATAACATTCTTACCCAAAACTCCGAATACTGAAGAAACACTCAATAGCTTCTCAGCATAAAATGACACTCTTAGTATCAAAACAAACCAAGGTGTTTTCTACTTTCTACAGCCAGACAGATTACATATTCTTTTTGAGGATTTAGAAATATACTTGGCATGCTATAGCTTTTTTAAAAGATGGCATATTGTACACAACATTCACTTGAACAGTTTGCAAATAGTTGTCTCAAGTTGAACTAATGAGTGCTGCAAATAACCGTTAGTAATATTATTCATGTTCACAAATATGATCTAAGGATGTTCACTCAGAGTTATACATAACAATGAAAGTTAAAACAAACACATAACCATAGGGAAGTGGCTAAATATATTACAAATCCGTATGCCACCAAGAGATATAATGCTGGAACCAGACAGTGTGAGAATAAAAACAATTGGAGAACTTGCAAAAGTGATTCAGAGTTTACGGCCTTCACACCCTTTCTTAGGAAATTATTTGAGACTAGGCTGCAGAAAAAAGAGTGAGTAAACCAAGAAAGTTAAAGACATGGGATTCAGGAAACAAAGGCTCCAACCCAGAAGAGTAATGAAAGGAAGCCCCAGGCCGTTAGGCAGCAGACCTACACAGCAGCCTGTTTAGACTGGAGCAAGAGGATGGAGAGCCTGGGGAGCAGGAATCTGAGAAAAGTTATTTCAGAGCTTTGATACTATCCTTGAGAAATGGAGCAACTCAAATATGTGATAAAGGCAGACAATACAAGAAAAAATGAAAGGCAATTAGAAACTCTAGGAATTAGATAGGAAATGCAATCCTGGTTGTGAAACAAACCTATTTTAATATAATCAAAATAAACCCTTTACTGACTTTACACCATGGCTTGGGTCAGGCATACCTTAGTCCTTAGAGTGACATCTTTGCTTTTAAACACTTTAAAGAGATCCTTTGCAGCACATTTGCCCAATACAAAACATTTGATTTCTTGTCTGCTGCTTCCATGGGTGTTGACTGTGGACCCAAGTAAAATGAAATCCTTGACAGCTTCAATATTTTCTCTGCTTATCATGATGTTGCTTATTGGTCCAGTTGTGAGGATTATTGTTTTCTTTATGTTGAGGTGTAATCCATACTGAATACTGTAGTCTTTGATCTTCATCAGTAACTGCTTTGAATCCTCTACACTTTCAGCAAGCAAGGTTGTGTCGTTTGCATAACGCAGGTTTCTAATGAGTCTTCCTCTAATCCTGATGCCGTGTTCTTCTTCATATAGTCCAGCTTCTCCGATTATTTGCTCAGCATACAGACTGAATAAGTATGATGAAAGTATACAACCCAGATGCACACCTTTCCTGACTTTAAACCATGCTTATTCTTTTTGAACGCCTGCCTCTTGATCTATATACAGTTTCCTCATGAACACAATTAAGTGTTCTGGGATTCCCATTCTTTGCAATGTTAATCCATAATTTGTTACGATCCACACAGTCTAATTCCTCTGCATTATCAATAAAACACAGGTAAAGATCTTTTTGGTATTTTCCGCTTTCAGTCAGGATCCATCTGACATCAGCAATGATATCCCAAGTTCCACATCCTCTTCTGAATCTGGATTAAATTTCTGGCAGTTCCCTACTGATGTACTGCTGCAGCCACTTTTGAATGACCTTCAGCATAATTTTACTTGTGTGTGATATTAATGATACTGTTCAATAATTTCTGCATTCGGTTGGATCACCTTTCTTTGGAATAGGCATAAATATGGATCTCTTCCAGTCGGTTGGCCAGGTAGCTGTCTTCCAAATTTCTTGGCACTTCCAACTCTGCATCTGTTTGTTGAAACATCTCAGTTGGTATTCCATCAATTCCTGCAGCCTTGTTTTTTGCCAATGACTTTAGTGAAGCTTGAACTTCTTCCTTCAGTACCATCGGTTCCTGATCATATGCCACCTCCTGAAATGGTTGAACGTTGACCAATTCTTTTTGGTAGAGTGAATCTGTGTACTCCTTCCATCTTCTTTTGTTTAGGTAGTCTTTAATTTCTCTTAATAATGATTTGTTGTGTTTAGGGTAAAAGTCTTGCACATCTTTTGTTAAACTTATTCTTAGGTATTTAATGTTTTTTGATGCTATTGTAAAAATATCTTTTTCTTTGTTCTCTGTTGTTGGTATATAAAAATACAATTGATTTTTGTATTTAAAAAGAAGGTACAGGTACCTTCCTTCTATTCTTCACTTGACTTTTTTTAAGTTGCAATTACAAAATCTTCTTTTAGGAAAAAAGCTTACTACACATAACCTAAAGAATAGTTGGAATAAGTGTCAAGTCAGAGTGCTTTCCAAATACCAGTTCTCGTTCTTTACGTGACAAGGATTCGTCATGGGTTGCCTTATTATTTTGTTAGACTTACTTACAATAACAAAATGCACAAAGTGACCTAGCAGTTCACTGCAGGAAAATCTAGTAAATGCAGGTCTGAAAATAGATATAACACATAATTTCTTTCATGGAAACATTCATGATTTCATCTATTTTTTTCTATTTTGGTTCCCTGTGAATAGATTCACTTTAGTTAGATAAATTTATTTCATACTAAAGCAACAAAACACAGGAAGGCATCAAAGAAGCAACAACAATCTTTAAAAAAAAAAAATTGCTGTTGGTTTCCTTTACTTACCAATTTTACTAAGGCAACAGTTAACTCTTTTTTAAAAATCTAGTAAGTATTTTCTTGGTTTATTAAAAAGTATAAAAGTTGAAAGAGAAAAAAAGTATTTATCCCACGTAATTAAACATTCAACTTGCCAATCCATGCATAGCCAAACATTTACTAAGTGTCTAAGGCTGGATTCTCTAGAGAAGAAAAACCAGTAAAGTGTATAAATATATATAGAGAGAGAGATTATATCAAGGAAACAGCTCATGCGATTTAGAGGCTAGAACGTCCCAAGTCCGTGGATCAGGGTACAGGCCTCTCCCAAGTCACACAGCTGCAGAAGCCAGCAAGCCCAAGATCGGAAGGTCGGAGGGCAGGGCTCCCACTCACAGGCTGTGCAGATCGACGAATCCCAGGTTCGGCAGATGAGCTGACAGCTCAAATCCCAAGAACGGGAGATAAGACGACAGGAAGCAGCCGCAGGATCCAGAGAGTGCAAAAAGCCAGAACGTCTGCTTATATACAGATGCAGGACACACCCCCAAGGAGACTGCCTTTCATCTGATTGGCTACTCACAGTATATTCAATCATGGGAGTGATTACATTAAAACATGGAGAATCATGGCCCAGCCAAGTTGACACACAATCTTAACCATCACACTAAGCCTGTGATTTCAGTGGCCAGCAGAGAGAAGCAGTTCATAATATTCACATTTAAAAATGTGTGTAAGTAATCTGTTATGTTTCACCAGCTTATATTCTTTTCATAACACACTGATTATATGTGGCTCATGTTCACAGAACATATTTCTAAATTATAGCATGAGATTAAACTCACCCAGGTACCCATACCTTTTTTAGAAAAAGCACTTAAGAAACAAAGTGCCTACATACTAAATATCTAAGACCTATAAAAAGAAGAAGTCTTTTGATGCATCTTAAACTGGTAATATATTAATGGTTATAACATTTAAGAAAGTAGTAAAAATCCTGAACTTGCCACAGGATCAGAAAATATTTTATTAGGTTGCCTGAAAAGATGTTTTCTATTGTCATCATTAGAATTTCAAACTAAGAAGCTGTATTTTTAACTATTATCTATTAAAATTTAAAAAAAAAAAAAAAAGAAGGTGAAGGAATGAACAGTAGGAAATGCCAGAACAAACAGCCTATTTCTTCAGAAGAATAAAGTGATTACAGACATCTTTTCAGGTACAGAAGCCCTTATTTTTTGTTTTTATTGTTGTAATTAAACGAAGTTTACATTTCAAGTTTAGTCTCCCATACAGAATTTTTTTTTAACATACATCGTTATGAGACCCCAACCACTCACCCCATTCTGCGAGAGCACACTCTTCCCCTCTGCCCCTGATTCCCAATGAACATTCACCCAGCTCCTGACTCTCTCTGCCTTCCCCTCTCACCTCTGGACAGAAGCC